ATTACACAACCTTTGTTTCATTTTATCCAAACAATGGGATCTCAACGTTTCTACGTTTTCCACTGTGAACAATACATGATCAGCTAAAACAATTCCTTCAAAACCCTCAAAGCTCTCTTGTCTTCTGGTAGTTTGCTCTGTTCTGTAGTTTTTTTCATTCAAGAGTGTGGAAAAGTTATGGTAAGCCAATCAGCTGGTCAGACAAGATTTCGAACATTGAAGTACGAGAACAACGGAGACTCTAATAAACCAACTATTGTAGTGAGAGTTATTGCTTGCTTTCAACCAATGGATAATTGTCAGGTTTGTTGCAGAAAAAAAGATTGAAAATTTTGCTTTCTTTTTGTCTCACTTAAGTCTTATTTATAATCTTAACACTATTTGTCTGTGCAGGCTGAATACTTTAGACATTTACTCAAACCAGTGACGTAGTTGGTTTGTGAGCTTGTGTGTTGTATTTTCGAGCTGGCATTTTTTCCTACTTTCTTTTACCATTGTTTCAAGAAGTAATTTGCCTTCAACATTATTTTGAGCAACAGCTTCCACAATCGGTATGTTAACTCAAATCTTTCCTCTTTTCTCTTTTACACAATGTTAGTTTCTGTTTGTGGACTTGTGGCTTTACTGAGTTTTTGATTTAACCATTTCTTTGCTTCTTCCTGCAGTATTGTTAAAGTTTCCCTTGGCTTAAACTGCAAGAGCATGCCTCTTGATACCAGGCAACAGAAATGGTTGCCATTGGGTTTAAATCCTCAAGCTTGTGTACAGGACACAGCTACTGAGTCTTCCCGTCCCGGAATTCCTTTTCCGGATCATCGGTTTCGCTACTTGCAGCCACCTTTCCAGGCCTTACTGTCCAGTTATGATCAACAGTCTTGTGGAAAACAAGTTTCATGTTTGAACGGGCGGCGATCTAGCTGCGATGCTGCTGCTTCTCCAGAGGGAGCACTTAAATCTTCTCGGAAAAGATTTCTAGTATTCGATCAGTCAGGAAATCAGACTCGTTTGTTACAATGTGGATTTCCTCTGCAAGGGAGAATTCTTGATTCCTTAAACCAAGAGAAAGAGTTTAGTAAAGATCGTGCCGTTCCAGAAAAGATATTGCTCCATGCAGATGAAGTTAATGGCGAAAAACAAGAGTCGGAAATGCACGAGGACACTGAGGAAATCAACGCGCTGTTGTATTC